GGCGGGGGGTCACTGCTCCTGGGAGGGCTGGGATTGGCAGTGAGCTCTTGGTCTGGCCACCCTCCCTCCATGAGGTTCAAGACCAAAGTTCCCATGGGAAGGCCACAACCATTTCTTCTGTGAGGCCCGGAAATGGGAATGGGTTCCTCATACTAAAGACAAAGACCTTCCTGGCCAGGTGCAGTGGTTCACGCCTATAATCCCAGCACTGACCTCACTAGAGGTCAGGAGTTCAAGACCACCCTGGCCAACGTGGTGAGGTGAAACCCTATCTCTACTAAAAATACAAAATTAGCCAGGTGTGGTGGTACGTGCCTGTAGTCCCAGCTACTAGACAGGCTGAGGCATGCGAATTGCTTGAACCCAGGAGGCGGAGGTTGCAGTGAACCGAGATCATGCCACTGCACTCTAGCCTGGGAGACAGAGTGAAACTCTGTGTCAAAAAAAAATTTAAAAAAAAAAAATTTAAGACCTTCCTGCTTCCTGAAGTGGGCCACCCTGATCCCAGCCCCCAGATCTGGAGTCAGCATTTCCAATTCTTCAAACCTGCCTGTTGCTGACGTGCTGGGTGACATTGGGCAAGTCACTTCACCTCTCTGTGCCTCAAAGGCCTCACCAATAGAATGATCCTCATCAGAAGCTGATAATAAATCCGCCCACCCACGTGGACATTCCAGGACTGTTCAATTTCAGTGCCATGTGGACTTACATAAGCAGGGCTACATTTCTTTAATCTGAGTAAAATGCAAATGTTCCTGGCGGATGAGTCAGCACTTAACCCCAAGCCTGCTCAGTCGTGTCACTTGGGCGGGAGCGCGAGGTCCCACCCAGACCCACAGACCTCTGCTCTTGGGGTGGACAGGCCCTGGAGATTTGCATTTTGCAGAGACTGCTGAGGAGGCGAGTTCAGACTTTAGAAGACAGGATGAGGGGAGAACGCAGACTCTCCCACCCCAATACCTGACCACATGCGCAACAATGACAAATTTTTGGGAAAAGAGTGAGCCAACACAGGACGAGGTGGGTGGATTACCTAAGGTCAGGAGTCGGAGACCATCCTGGCAAACATGGTGAAACCCCATCTCTACTAAAAATACAAAAATGAGCTGGCTGTGATGGTTCACTTGTGGTCCCAGCTACTCAGGAGGCTCCGGCAGGAGAATTGCTTGCACCCAGGAGATGGAGGTTGCAGTGAGCCGAGATCTTGCCACTGCACTCCAGCCTGGGTGACAGAGTGAGAAGGGGCCTCCAGGGCTGTCGTGTTCAGCTGCTGGGGTGAGGAGTAGGGCAGAAGGGGCTGGGCACAGGGTGTTTAGGGGATGACAGGGCAGAGAAGACCTGTGGCCCCCAACAGGGTGGCCTCAGTCGGGGGGACTTTCCCACCCACCTCTACACACGCAGGCTACCCAACTGAAAATGATGCAGCCTCAAAACTGCCCTTCTGTGGGGAAGACAGGCAGGTTCCTGTAACAGAACAAGTAAAACGTCAGGAGTTAGCTAACCGAGTAAGATGAAAAAAGCTTGCAAGGCCACCCTACATGCAAGTGCCAGGAAAGGGAAGGAAATTGCACGGGGCACAGCTGAAAGCCAGCAGAGCCAAGGACATGAGCGGCTTTCCTGGAACTGATAGCTTCGCGTTAGACAAAAGTGAATGAGAATATGAACCAGGTATAAAAAGCACGAGCCAGGTGCAGTGGTGTGCGCCTGTCAACCCCACCTGCTAGGGGGCCAGGAGGGAGCATCACTTGAGCCCAGGGATTTGAGACCAGCCTGGGCAACCTTGTGAAGCCCCATTTCTTTAAAAAAAAAAAATTGTTGAACGAAAAGAGCACAAAGAAGAGATGACAGGCCAGGCACCGTGGCTCATGCCTATAATCACAACACTTTGGGAGGCCAAGGCAAGCAGATCACCTGAGGCCAGGAGTTCGAGACCAGCCTGGCCAACATGGTGAAACCCTGTTTCTACTAAAAATACAAAAATTAGCCCGGTGTGGTGGGGGGCGCCTGTAGTCCCAGCTACTCGGGAGGCTGAGGCAGGAGAATCGCTTGAATCTGGGAGGCAGGTGTTGCAGTGAGCTAAGATTGTACCACTGTACTCTGGCCTAGGTGACAGAGCGAGATTCTGTCTCAAAAAAAAAAGAAAAAAAAAAAAGGAGAGATGACCAAAAAAACATTATCAGGAAATGCAAAGACACTGCAGAGGGGAGGAAACACATTAACCAAAACAGGACCATGACACATCTAAAAACAGTTAGAACATAGCACATGCATCTGAAAAGCAAGGGAATAGTGTGGGAGAGAAACTTGAAATAATTGCAATGAATTTAGAGAATAAGAACAAATAAATTGAAACAATTAGAGAGACAATGGTCATTATGGGTCCCAGACCTTCCAATCTCAGGGTGACTGGACTCCCTGAAGTAGATTATCCAACAACTAAAACAGAAGGCTATTTAGAGAAAGCCTTTCTGAAACGAAGAACCAAGTCTACAGACTGTGAGGGACGACTGCAGGGAAGCAAATTCAGAATGACCAACATTGGAACATACTGGCTGAGTTACTGAACTTTTTTTTTTTTTTTTTGAGACAGAGTTTTGCTCTTGTTGCCTAGGCTGGAGTGCATTGGCATAATATCGCCTCACCACAACCTATGCCTTCCGGGTTCAAGCGATTCTCCTGCCTCAGCCTCCCGAGTAGCTAGGATTACAGGAATGTGCCACCACGCCCGGCTATTTTTGTATTTTTAATAGAGACAGGGTTTCTCCATGTTGGTCAGGCTGGTCTCGAACTCCCAACCTCAGGTAATCAGCCCTCCTTGGCCTCCCAAAATGCTAGGATTACAGGCATGAGCCACTGTGCCTGGCCAAGTTACTGAACTTTAAGGATAAAGAAAAAAATTCTTCAGGCACCCGGACAAAATGTCGTGAAAGAATGGAATGGAAGGCCGGGCGTGGTGGCTTAAGCCTGTAATCCCAGCACTTTGGGAGGCTGAGGTGGGCAGATCACTTGAGGTCAGGAGTTCATGACCAGCCTGACCAACAAGGAGAAACCCCCTCTCTTCTAAAAATGCAAAATTAGCCGGTGTGGTGGCACAGGCCTGTAATCCTAGCTACTGGGGAGGCTGAGGCAGGAGAATCGTTTGAACCCGGGAGGCAAGGTTGCTGTGAGTGGAGATCGCGCCATTGCACTCCAGCCTGGGTAAGAAAAGCAAAACTCCATCTCAAAAATAAATAAATAAATACAAATACAAATACAAAAATTAGCCAGGTGTGGTGGTGCATGCCTGTAATCCCAGCTACTTGGGAGGTTGAGGCAGGAGAATCACTTGAACCTGGGAGGCAGAGGTTGCAGTGAGCCAAGATCACACCACTGCACTCCAGGCTGGGCAACAAGAGCAAAACTCTGTTTAAAAAAAAAAAAGAATGGAATGGAATCTATTTCAATTTCAATATAAGGCTAAATGCTGATAGCCAGGCATAGTGGCTCATGCCAGTAATTCCAGCATTTTGGGAGGCCAAGGCGGGTGGATCACTTGAACTCAGGGGTTCGAGACCAGCCTGGACAACATGGTGAAACTCTGTGTATAAAAATACAAAAATTAGCCAGGCATGATGGCCAGTGCCTGTAATCTCAACTACTCAGGTGGCTGAGTCAGGAGAATCACTTGAACCTGGGAGGCAGAAGTTGCAGTGAGCCAAGATCACACCACTGCACTCCAGTCTGAGCGACACAGCAAGACTACATCTCAAAAAAAAAAAAAAGACGACCAGGCGTGGTGGCTCACGCCTATAATCCCAGCACTTTGGGAGGCTGAGGTGGGTGGATTACTGGAGGTCAGGAGTTCAAGACCAGCCTGGTCAAAATGGTGAAACCCCGTCTCTACTAAAAATACAAAATTAGCTGGGCGTGGTGGTGTGCGCCTGTAATCTCAGCTACTTGGGAGGCTAAAGCAAGAGAACTGCTTGAACCTGGGAGGCAGAGGTTGCAGGCAGAAAGAGTGAAACTCCATTTCAAAAAAAAAAAAAAAGACTAAATACTGGGAGAATTACGGTTGTAAAGTAAAAGTGTTACAAACCTTGACAAAATCCAGCACAGTGGTTCACACCTGTAATCCTAGCACTTTGGGAGGCTGAGGCAGGCGGATCACCTCAGGTCAGGAGTTCGAGACCAGACTGAACCCAGGAGGCAGAGGTTGCAGTGACCTGACATCATGCCACTGCACTCCAGCCTGGGTGACAGAGCTAGACTCTGTCTCAAAAATAAATAAATAAATAAATAAATAAATAAATAAATAAAATAATAAATAAACAAATAAACCTTGACAAAGTAAAAATATCGGCATCAAAATCAGAGCTGGGGTGGGCAAGAGGAAGAAGGAGGATGTTTGAGGGGAGTGGTCCCCTCTTTTATCCCAAGAAATCACTGATTCTGCTCAAAGTGAAACATCTGGGTTTTCCCCCCAAGACTCCAATGTCTTAATGAATTTCGTAATCTTTTTGTTAACCATGAGAAATTCATTATGAAGTAACAGCTCTTGTGGAAAGTAAATATTTTAAGATTCAGCAATTTTTCTGGGTTTTCTTTTTTTTCCTTTTTTTTTTTTTTTTTTTTCCAGATACAGTGTCTCACTCTGTTGCCCAGGCTGGAGTGCAGTGGCACGATCATGGCTCACTGCAGCTCTGAACTTCTGGGCTTAAGTGATCCTTCCACCTCAGCCTCCTGAGTAGCTAGGATTACAGGCGGCACATGTTCCCACACCCAGCTAGTTTTTAAAATTTTTTTTGTAGAGACAGGGGTCTCACTATGTTGCCCAGGCTGGTCTCAAACTCCTGGGATCCTCTTACCTTGTCCTCCCAAAGAGCTGGGATTACAGGTGTGAGCCACAGCCCCTGATTTTTTTTTTTTTTTTTTTCTGTTAAACTCAAGTAAAACAGAATATATTTAGTTTAAAATAGAACTGGTACGGTGAAATCTCATCTTCTAAAATTGTTTGGACTTACCTTTCTCTGAACTGCAGGGGCAGAAGGGGGGTGATCTCTTTCCTTCCCATGTAAAGGGTCATGACCGGCACCCCTATAACAAAAAACAAGTTAACAAGAGAAAAGAATAGCAGGCTTATTACACGCACATGAGACATACAATATATGAACTCTAAGAGGCGTCAAAAGGTTGAAGAGAGGAAAATGGAGAAATGAATGGCTCAGTGCTCAGACAGTGGTTAGCAAATGATTATCTGGGAGCCGAACAGGACAAGTTATGTGAAGGCGAGGGCGGAACTGCACAGGAACAAAACTTGGGTTTGTTCATTTGTTTGTTTTGAGACAGAGTTTCGCTCTTGTTGCCCAGGCTGGAGTGCAATGGCGTGATCTCGGCTTACTGCAACCTCTGCTTCCCAGTTTCAAGCAATTCTCTTGCCTCAGCCTCCCAAGTAGCTGGAACTACAGGCACGCGCCACCATGCCTGGCCAATTTTTTGTATTTTTAGTAGAGACGGGGTTTCACCATGTTGGCCAGGCTGGTCTCAAACTACTGAGCTCAGGTGATTCACTCGCCTCGGCCTCCCAAAGTGCTGTGATTACAGGCCTGAGCCACCGTGCCCAGCCCAGACAACCACAATTCTTTTATTGTCATTGTTTTTGAGATGGGAGTCTCCTTATGTTGCTGGGTCTGGTCTCAAACTCCTGGGCTCAAGTGATCCTCCAGCCTTAACCTCCTAAATAGCTGGGATTATAGGTGCATGCTGCTGTACCTGGTTTTGTAATTGTTTTGGAAAGAAGCTTTCTTTTTTTTTTTTTTTTTTTTTTGTTTTTTGAGATGGGAGTCTCACTCTGTTGCCCAGGCTGGTTTTTGAGATGGAGTCTCACTCTGTTGCCCAGGCTGGAGTGCAGTGACCGGATCTCAGCTCACTGCAAGCTCCGCCTCCTGGGTGTATGCCATTCTCCTGCCTCAGCCTCCTGAGTAGCTGGGACTACAAGCGCCCGCCACCTCGCCCAGCTAGTTTTTTTTTGTATTTTTTAGTAGAGATGGGGTTTCACCATGTTAGCCAGGATGGTCTCGATCTCCTGACCTCGTGATCCACCCGTCTCGGCCTCCCAAAGTGCTGGGATTACAGGCTTAAGCCACCGCGCCCGGCCGGAAAGAAGCTTTCTTAGTCAGATAAGGATTCCAGGAAGAGTCCCTCCCTCCAGTCAGGGGTAGGGAGGGTGAGAGGGTACAAGACAAGGTTAGGCAGCTTCACCTGCCTCTCAGCATGTCAGAGCACCAGTCTTGGGTATCACTTTCTGAGTCCCAACCTTCCTATCCCTCTTCATTTCTCCAAACTTCTCTGTGTAGTTGGCATTCCCCAAGGTTAACACGAATAATGGGCTATAGTAAGCATGTACTGAGCACCAGAGGTTTTAGGTGCAGCAGAGAATAGAGCAGATGAAACCCCTGCCTTCATGAAGATGTCTTTTTTTTTTTTTTTAAATGGAGTCTCACTCTGTCGCCTAGGCTGGAGTGTGGTGGCACGATCTCGGCTCATTGCAACCTCTGCCCCCCGGGTTCAAGCAATTCTCTGCCTCAGCCTCCCAAGTAGCTGGGATTACAGGCACCCGCCACCATGCCCGGCTAATTTTTGTATTTTTAGTAGAAATAGGGTTTCACCATCTTAGCCAGGCTGGTCTTGAACTCCTGACCTCGTGATCCACCCACCTCAGCCTCCCAAAGTGCTGGGATTACAGGCATGAGCCACCACACCCAGCCCGAAGATATAATTCTAATGGGAGGAATTTGTTACTTCCTTCTTTGTACTTTTCTGTATTGTTTGTTTTGTTTGAGAGTTAGCATCTATCTTTTTTTTTTTTTTTGGAGACGGAGTCTCTGTCACCCAGGCTGGAGTGTGGTGGCATGATCTCAGCTCACTGCAATCTCCACCTCCCAGGTTCAAGCAATTCTCCTGCCTCAGGCTCCTGAATAGCTGGGATTAGAGACACGCGCCACCACGCCTGGCTAATTTTTTTTTTTTTTTTTTTTTTTTCTTATAGACAGGGTTTGACCATGTTGGCCAGGCTGGTTTCGATCTCCTGACTTCAAGTCATCCACCTGCCTTGGCCTCCCAAAGTGCTAGGATTATGGGCATGAGCCACCACACCCAGCCAGAATACATAATTTTTTTTTTTTTTTTTTCCTGAGATGGAGTCTTACTCTGTCGCCCTGGCTGGAGTGCAATGGTGTGATCTTGGCTCACTGTAACCTACGCCTCCTGGGTTCAAGTAATTCTCCTGCCTCAGCCTCCCAAGTAGCTGAGATTACAGGCACGCGCCACCATGCCTGGCTAATTTTTGCATTTTTAGTAGAGATAGCATGCGCCACCACGCCTGGCCATATATCATTTTTATAAAAACAAAGGCCGGGCGCAATAACTCCTGCCTGTAATCCCAGCACTTTTGAAGGCCAAGGCAGGTGGATCACCTGAAGTCAGGAGTTCGAGACCAGCCTGACCAACATGGTGAAACCCTGTCTCTATTAAAAATACAAAAACTAGCCAGGCGTGGTGGTAGGTGCCTGTAATCCCAACTACTTGGGAGGCTGAGGCAGGAGAATTGCTTGAACCCAGGAGGTGGAGGTTGCAGTGAGCTGAGATCATGCCATTGTACTCCAGCCCGGGTGATGGAGCAAGACTCCTTCTCAAAAAAAGAAAAGAAAAGAAAACTATTTACCTTCACACACACACATAAACACACACATCCATGGAGGATGATTCTTCTGAACAGCTGGAGTTGAGAACCACTACATTTGAAGCTGGATGAGTCATTGACACTCTTGTGTAAACAGGGTTTTCAGGAAGACAGCGTGGGGACCCAGAGTCTCTGGAGGTCCCAGCTAAAGATAAGATTCCCTGCGGAGCAGCTGACCCTGGGAAGAGCTGAAAAGGGAAGTTGGTTCCCCTGGGTATTCAGCCCCTCTTGGAAGGAAGAACCATCCAGCCTGTCTCCTGAGGCCCTCTTGCCAGAGATGCTTGTCCCAGTCCTGATCCTAACTAAGCCCTTGCTTCATTGGCATTGGTGAGCCCCCCAAGCCCCATCCATTCCTCCCCCTCATCATCCACCTATCTCTTAAGCGGGGCCCTGACTCCTGCCCCGTCCACTGTGCCCTCACTCTGGCCATACAGGCCTGCCCACTGCCTGGCTTTTTTTTTTTTTTTTTTTGGAGATGGAGTCTTGCTCTGTCACCCAGGCTGGAGTGCCAGTGGCACGATCTCTGCTCACTGCAACCTCCGCCTCCCAGGTTCAGGTGATTCTCCTACCTCAGCCTTCTGAGTAACTGGGACTATAGGTGTGCACCACCATGCCTGGCTAATTTTTGTATTTTTAGTACAGATGGGGCTTCACCATGTTGGCCACGCTGGTCTCGAACTCCTGACCTCAAGTGATCTGCCGCCTTGGCCTCCCAGAGTACTGGGTTACAGGTGTGAGCCACCGCACCCAGCCAACCACTTCCTGGCTTTTGCAGGTGCTTTTTCCTCCACCAGAATCTCCTCCCTCCCCTGCTTCCCTCGCTCCCAGGCTTCCAGGCCTCCTTTTCTGGAAGGCTGCCCTGACAGGCCAGACCACCTGGCTCTGCCAAGGTCCAGTGACTCAGAGGCTCAGAGCCGGCAAAGCCTTGAGGCCTTGCACCAAGGAGGCAGGAAGGCACACAAGCCCTGCCCACTGGATGACCTTGGCCAAGTCCTTCGCCCTGGATGACTCTGTTTCCTCATCGGAAAAATAGGGGCATCACAAGCTGCTTGATAGGAATCAAGAAGATCATGTGTGAAATGTTAGCTATTTTTAGTTTCAGGTTTGTTGGAAAGAATGACAATGAGACATGAGCTTACAGGAAGGGGGAATGAAAAGGGGAAATCAAGTCAGTAAGGGAAGAATGTGAAAAAAAGTTGTAATGGAAATTAAAAAACCCTAACTTTCCTGGGAGGACAGAGGCTTCCTATGGAGCCAGCTGAGGGTCTGTGGGGGTCACAGGGGCACTGTCAGACACTGGGAGATGCTGGACAGGACTGGGCCCAGACCTCCAGGCCCAGTGGGGCCTCCCTTCTCAGCCCCCTACTTTCTTTTTTTTTTCCTTTGAGATGGAGTTTCACTCTGTCACCCAGGTTGGAGTGCAGTGGCACAATCTCGGCTCATTACAACCTCCACCTCCCAGGTTCAAGCGATTCTCCTGCCTCAGCCTCCCAAATAGCTGGGACTACAGGCATGTGCCACCACGCCCGGCTAATTTTTGTATTTTTAGTAGAGATGGGGTTTCACCATGTTGGTCAGGCTGGTCTCGAACTCCTGACTTCAGGTGATCTGCCTGCCCCGGCCTCCCAAAGTGCTGGGATTGCAGGCGTTAGCCACCGCGCCCGGCTCAGCCCCCTTCTCTTTCAGCTCAGGTACCCGTGCCCCTGCAGAGCCTTGGAAAGTGTCATCCCACACCATCTCCACCAGGTTCTACAAAATCACCCCCAAATCATACCTTCTAGGCACTGCAGCAAATGCAGCTTCAGGGCAATCCCCCAGCACAACCTCACCCCTTCCTGAGACTGGTGGGTGAGCTGAGGTCACCTGCCACTGCCAGCAGGGCTGGGTAAATCTCGGGGCAGGCGGGGGCGAGGGCGGGGGCTGTCACCGCGGTGTTGCCTGACGCACCCTCCTCCCCAGTTCAGGAAATTGTGAGGTGAACTCTTCCCCTCCAGAGCGCTGTCTGCTATGAAGGCGGCTCAGGCCCCCAACACACACATAGCGGGTGACAGGTAGGGCCCAAGTCCTGAAGCCCCCGCTCCTCCCTGAAGACCAAACAGGGCATCTCTGGGACTCTGTTCCTCTCTCCCTGGTCAGCACAGTCCCCCACCCTGCAGTTCCCATGAGGCAAAACGTCAGAGTCACCTTTATTGCACAGCCACTCTGTACACCAGGCGCTCACCACACATGCAAGGTCGGTGGATTGTCCCCATTTTACAGATGAGGGAGTGGAGGCAGGAAGTGCAGAAGAGGCCACTCGTGGCCACACAGTGGAGACTGGCAGGCCCATTGGGTTCAGCAGACTCCTCAGCCCCAG